GGGGCGGTCCATCGGACACCTGCGCATGTGGCCTTTAAAGGGCTCACACTGACACACCTGTTTTCTGTACGTTTTGCGGTCAGTGATGATCTCCTGCTTCTTCGCCCTTTTGTCCCAGGCCTCTGGCGTCTTAGTCTTACCGCCCTTGGTACGGATTATCGCGCCAGTCTCGTCCCTTTTTGTGCAGTATTCTTTAGAATACCAATGCCGAAGAGTTTCCATAGAGTAGCCGGGGTACCATCTGATGTACCAATCCGGCACCTGCTGAGCAGATACTCCAACGGAGTGCTCAGTACTGTATGAATAGCCCGATTCGTCGTGCGTGGGGCGTCTAGGAGCTGAGCGGCTCCTTCCGCGGGCTGGCCCCGCTGACGCACTTCCGTGTGTCATTGGCCTCTGTTCGTCAGGCTCTGAGTCTCGGGGAGGCGACGGTCGCCTGTCCCTCTTGGCGTACCGCATATCATCCGAGTCCTCTGAGCTGTCCTGGGCCATGAACACGTTTTGATACGGGCTTCTGAAGTATCCGATGTCATTTAACTGCTCCATCGAGAGGTCGTTAATGTTCATTTGATCACAACCTTGCATGAATACGTCCATGGACCAAGCGGGTGGCCCCGCAGTTGCGTCTGGCATCTCTTCGGCGGGTGACCCCGCTAGAGCTTGGAGTGCTGTGAGCATCTGAGATGCTGACATGTTCGAATCCAAGTATGGACGTAGACGTGCAACTCCTGGGTGTGACAGCAGTTCATTCATCGTCATCTGCTGCTGTGCTGGCGCACTCAAGAGTCGGATTGCCTTCGAAACCTGCTCTTGGAGCATGTCGTTGTAATCTTCTTCGGATTCTTCGGAATCGGAATACGCGGGATGGCCCCGCATTTCGTCATCGGCGTCTCCCATCTCCGAGCCAGCCCCCGACGGATTTGGCAGCAACGGCATGCCAATCACTTGTGGGGCCAGCGCGGCGGTGAGTTCCTCCTCTGTTGCTGGGACGGTCTCGGCCTCGGAGACCACGTCACCGGCGGGTGGCCCCGCTGGAAGACCGAACCAAGCGTTGTATGCAATCTCATCGACCTCGTCCCAGCCGTGGAACTCGTCGAAGAGGGTCACTGCGTAGTCCTCCAGGGCCACAGTTGCCTCAGCATAGCGGGCCATCACGTAGTATGTGGAGGGGCCCGCAGCGGGAGCCGCTTCTGGATTGACGTAAAACTCGTAGTCAATGTAATCTATGTCATCCATAAAAGTGTTTTGAGCCAAATGTACGGATCCCTTTCCTTTCCCCTTCGGGCATTGATCGCGCAAATGTTCTGTGCTACCGCATGTATGACACTTCATAGTATTACCAGAAGCGTCCCTAGGGTTGCCCCTTCGTCCTTTTCCCTTACCGGAGGTCCGCCTGTGACCTCGACCTTTGCCTCCGATAAGAACTTCTTCAAAAGCCATATCAGTTAAGGACGTGAGGAAAGCAGTAATACCCCTACCATGCATACGGCGCCTGCGACCCCCTTTACCACGACCCTTTCCAAAATGTTTGAAATGTCGGCGTACTGCACGTCTCACCTTTCTGACTGGTTTCTTCATAAAGCGCCTCCAACGGCGTTTTGATTTGCGATAAGCCATAAAAGCGGCTTCCGCTCTTTGTTGTTCAGAGAGGTGAGTGTCATCCGCTGGATAGTCATTACCAGCAGAGACTATGCCGTTATGCTCATCGTCAGATGAGGTATCTGTGTCAGTGCCAGATTCAAACGGTGAGGGTGGCTGAGACCGTTGAGCGGATGACTCCGCTTGGCCCCAGAGGGTTGTGCCCGAGGGCGGGCCTGCAGTGTAGGCGGCGCCTGGCGAGTAGTTCGTCCAAGCGTTCGCCTCAGCTGCCTCTGCTGATGCCTGGCCGGCCTGCCCTAGAAGGGCAGTGGCCTCGTTGGGCATATCGGCTGGGTCAGCCCAGGGATTTGGCTCGCCAGGACCAGCGGGTGACCCCGCAGTCGTGGCGTAACACCTGCATGTGAGTGGTGCCCTGTGAAGATACCCGCTATGTTGCCAGGAGAGCGCTCGGCAACATGTCCGTAGTTCCTCATCCTGGTCAGCAGCCTGTCATAGTCTGCTTGTGTTCGGGGCATCTGATGATTGAAGGGCTCAAGCAGGTGTTGGGCTCGTGACGCGCCAACGCCTAACGCTCTGAAGAGAATCAGCGTTAGGATCTGAAAGTTGGGGATGACAAAGCCAACAGAGTTAGCCTCGTCACGGGCCATCTCGAATCGAGCTAATACTGAGTCGATTCGCTCGCCCCTTTCGACGCGGAAGTCGATAAGGGCAGTGCCAGAGTTGAGCTGGCGCTCATCTTCCAGATTTTCAAATTTGGTGCTCAGTAAGTACAGTATGTAGGTTACTGCATCCGTTGGCTGTCCATTGACAGTTACACCATAATTGATGATCTGGGAGGGGACCTGCATGGCGATACGACGAGCCAGACCTTGAAGGCCTCGTTGTAGTGCTGCAGCTTGTTGTGGTGGTGTCATATTGCCGCTCGTTACGTTTAACCATGCATGTACTTCGCGAACGTATTCGCGAAAAGGCGTAGTACCGGCAGGGTCCCATGAAGGGCCAGTAGTACGCGTGTCGTCCATCCCCTGCCGCATGTATCCCACAGCACATCCCATTATTACCCACAGAATGCCGAAGATAGTTATCTTGATCCAATGCATATGCATTTCGGCTTCGGTGATTGGTTTGGGCTGTGGTTTGTCAGGCTCTGGCGTGGTAGCCGTGAGGCGCCTGACCGGCACGGGATGCAGGTGGCCCCGCTGCGGGTAGCCCCGCAGGGTGACCACGTTCTCGATCGAGTTGCCGATTGGCATCTGGTGGAAGTCGGGAGTGTAGTAGCGCAGTGAAGTAGGAGAAAGCGTCTCGAGTTCGCGGGTTACCCCGCTAGCTCGATCGCGGACTGACTCCGCTCCTCGCAGAGCCGGCGCAACATGGTATTCCACCGTAGTAGTAGTCCACCAAGTTGTGCCGTGGATTACAGGAATCAGAGCGAGAGCCAGCCACACGAGAGTGTAGCCAGCTCCGCTACCAAGTCGAAAACAAGCTGGTAAGCTTAGGTATGTATTACGCCTTAGGCGTTGCCATATCCCAGGCTTAGGCTCATAGCGCATGAGCAAGAGAGCGAGACGAAGCATGGGATCTGGAGTAAAGAGTAGGATGGGCATCGTCAATGGAAAAGGATGTTTTCCGATCTCAGATGCAAGTAGTGCGCCTCGGTGAGGCACAGTCATATATTTGGCCGGGCCCGGCTTGAGCCAGGCACGGCAGCGGTACATGCTCGATTTATACCTCGCCTTTAACCTTCTCCGTTTAAAGTTCTCGGGGGCATCCTTGGGAGGTACCTGGGCCACATGGCTCCAAGATGTTTTCAGGCAGCCCAAGATTGCCCAAAATACAGTTTGTGGCTCAACACATCCCCACATGGCTCACGTGCCTGCAAGAGGCTCCAAGACTCGTCTAGCATTGTAACGAGTGGCCACGGAGCCCCCCAAGGATGCGCAAAAAAAACGAAAACCTTCCAACCCCGTAGGGAGCACACGCGACGTTCGCCTTCTCGCCCTTTCACTTCCGAGGAGCTTCCGATGCCTCAGGATGGCGCAGGAGAGCTGCAGGAGGGGCCCACGAGGGGCCCAAAGAGGGCTCCAAAACGACCCCAAGAGCGCCCTAGAACGCTCCAACAGGGCCTAAGAGGCGATGTTCGGGGCTGGGGGGCTGACCAGGGACCACCCCTTCTTGATCGGTGTCATCCAAGAAACCCCCAAGGCTCCCAAGAGAACCCCAAGAGGGCACCAAGAAAGCACCCCGACATCGTCCCAAATGATTCCCAGAAGATCCCAAGATTGCCCAAGTAAGCTGCCAAGAGCTCCCAGATCGAACGATCCGAGAAAGCAATCATGGTTGACCCCCACCCTTTGTTTCACGGCTTGCTCTTACACTTCCCTCGTCAATGCAACTTGCCTGGAAATCGTTTCTGGATGTGCCAGGAGGCCTCAAGAATTCAACCTCGCAGGAGTTGCAACCAAGTGCAGGGGGGGAGAAACACAAGGGTGAACAATCGCAGACACCTTCATTAGTTTGCTTGTCTCCAGGGGGGCTGCGGTACCCATGATCGCGAGACATCGATCTGGCGTGAAAAGCAACCCAGAATGGAAGGGGCCCGTTGTGAACAGATTTTGTTGCAGGCTTCGGAGGAGGAAGAGGAGGACGAAGCCACGCGCTCGTCAAGACTCCTGGGGAACCCTCCCGTAGACGCGACCTGACCCGCCTCGACACCGTGTCGGAACACGCTGGGGGAGAACTCGTGAGGTCAATTTTGAATCAGGTCCCAGAGGGGAGGAAGGGGAAGGAGGATACTTTCAGGATATGTCAACTTGTCTTAGAGGTCCCCAGCATGTTCAAATGGGAATCAATGGGTACTACGGGCTGTAGGGTATCACCTGCACTCCTTAGAGACCCGCTCGCAATGTAGTCTGTGAAGCCAAGGAGGGCGGAGAAGGAAGGGGGAGGAGAAAATGAAGAAAGGAGTGATGAGGGAGGGGAAGGGAAAGAGGGGAAGGAGTAGGAGGAAGGAAGATGTACAAGGCAAGGGGGGAGCAGGGCTGAGGAGGAAGCAGGTACGAGGATGAAGATGAAGAGGCAAAGGCGATGCAAGAGGGAGGGAGGACCCCCGATCTAGGAGGGACGAGAACACGAGGAGGCAGTTATGGAGGAGGAGAAGGATGGATAATTCGCCAGCCAAGCGGGCTGGTAGGAGGTCCGGAGTGCTTGTATACTGGTAGGTCGCGCGCGCTGGGCTGTCCCTGGGCCCCCCTGTGGAGGCCCAGGAGAAGGGGAGGAGGAACGTGAGAAGCCCCTCTTCTCCATCCTCCTCCTCCTCCTCCTCCTCCCTCGGCCTCTCGCTCCCCCTCCGCCGCCCTCGTCCTGGCCGTCGTCGTCGTCATCCCTCCCCTCGTCTGGCCGGCCTTGATCTGCGTCCTGTGGACGAGGCCCGTCGCCTCCGCGCCGCTGGCAGACTTCACGACGACAAAGGCGCCGAACTCCCTCAGGTCCTCTGGCGCGCGCGCGCGCGAAGACGCCCCCTCTCGGGAGCGGCCAAGAGGGGGGGGTCCAAGAGGGGGGGGCGCAAATCATGACCGGCGGCACGTGCGCGGCCCAGCGGGGGGGGCCAGGGACGTAATGAAATAAGAAGGGGCGCCATGACATCTGGGGAAAGATCATGGCCCCGGCCATGATATCCGCCCACCCCTAGTCTGGCCATCGCTCGGACGTCCATTTCCTGTGTTTTTGTTAGGTTTCGTGCGTGTTTTTTTCGCCAAGTGGTCGAGGATGCTCCTCGATGGCCCTCGCCGAAAAATTAGCCTGGCGAAGGACCCAACCATATGCAGTTGTGGGTATCGCATTCGGGGGAGCCCCGTATGGGGCCACGAAACGCTGTACTGGGTGGGGGGGACGCATGCGAACTGCGCCACTGGGACCTTCGGTGGAGCTCCCTATGGGGCCACGAAACGCTGCCCTGGGTGGGGGGGAACGCATGCGAACTGCGCCACTGGGGCCTTCGGTGGAGCTCCCTATGGGGCCACGAAACGCAGACCTGGGTGAGGGAACCGCATGCGGGCTGTGCCACTGGGACCTTCGGTGGAGCTCCCTATGGGGCTACGAACGCTGCCCTGGGTGGGGGAACCGCATGCGGGCTGTGCCACTGGGACCTTCGGTGGAGCTCCCTATGGGGCCAGGGGGAACCGCATGCGGGCTGTGCCACTGTGACCTTCGGTGGAGCTCCCTATGGGGCACGAAACGCTGCCCTGGGCGGGGGAACCGCATGCGGGCTGTGCCACTGGGACCTTCGGTGGAGCTCCCTATGGGGCCACGAAGCGCTGCCCTGGGTAGGGGAACCGCATGCGGGCTGTGCCACTGGGACCTTCGGTGGAGCTCCCTATGGGGCTACGAAACGCTGCCCTGGGTGGGGGAACCGCATGCGGGCTGTGCCACTGGGACCTTCGGTGGAGCTCCCTATGGGGCCACGAAACGCTGCCCTGGGTGGGGGAACCGCATGCGGGCTGTGCCACTGGGACCTTCGGTGGAGCTCCCTATGGGGCTACGCTGCCCTGGGTGCGGGGGGGCATATGGGGCCACGAACCTTCGGTGGAGCTCCCTATGGGGCCACGAAACGCTGCCCTGGGTGGGGGAACCGCATGCGGGCTGTGCCACTGGGACCTTCGGTGGAGCTCCCTATGGGGCTACGAAACGCTGCCCTGGGTGGGGGAACCGCATGCGAACACCCCCACTGGGGCCTTCGGTGGAGCTCCCTATGGGGCTACGAAACTGCCCTGGAACCGCATGCGGTATGCCACTGGACCTTCGGTGGAGCTCCCTGTGGGGCTACGAAACGTGTGAGGGGTGTGCCGAGAGCAGAGGCAAGGAGGGGGAGGAGGGAGGAGGGCGAGGAGGGGAGGAGGAGGAGGAGGAGAGGAGGTGGGACGCGGGGCGCTGTCTCTTCAAAACGAGGACCCAACACCACAGGATGGTTGGGAAAAATCGGCACGTCCGAGCGATGCCAGGTAGTCGCCACCCCCCTTCTTTTCCGCCCCCGAGAAGACACCCCCTCGGGGCCGCGGCTCGGCCCCGGGGGCCCCGCCTCGCCCCCGCCGCCCCTCTCGCCCGCCGCCCCGCGCCTCGACCTCGACCCACTGTCCCTCGCCCCTCCTCCTCCTCCTCCTCCTCCTCCTCCTCCTCCTCTCCCTCCTCTCTTCCTCCTCCTCCTCCTCCTCCTCTTCCTCCTCCTCCTCCTCCTCCTCCTCCTCTCCTCCTCCTCCTCCTCCGCCACCTCCTCCTCCTCTAGTTCCTCTAGTTCCTACCAGAAGGCGGTCCGCTCCGCAAACCAGCCTCGGCCCCGAACGGGGATCAAAACACTCCACGGCAGACCCAGGACCCGCCAGGCAAGGGAGCCTGGCGCGGGAGGGCCCCTTGGAGTCCGAGCCAAAACATAGCAAAACTTAAACCCTCCTCGCCGCCGCCCTCGAGACAGGGAACGGGACCGCTCCCCAGCGGCTGCCTGTCTGGGGCTCCCGCCCCGCTCTGAGACGCTCGAGGGCGCGGCGGGCCAGGCGAGCCGCGTCGCGGCCCTTGCTGGCCAGCGGGACGCAGGGGTCGGCCAGGAGCTTCGCTTGGCGACTCCCGTGGGCCCCGCACGTTCGACAAAACACGAGACAGCCACCCGTCCCAAAGGACCTCCGACACGGCCCGTCCCCGCCCCGAATCACCCAAAGCTTGTGGGACGGGTGGGACCTGGCGACCAACCACGGGAGTCCTGGACAGGCGCTGGCGACAACCCTGGCCCTGGTAGCCCGACGGATCCCGCAGACCGAACAGCCCCAGGCTCGACCGAGCCTGGCCAGGACGTGGCCCCTGTCGGGCCCCACCAGGGCCAGGGTCCCAGGGTCCGAGCCCCTGGGCCTAGGGAGGGCCCCTCGGTCGGGCCATCCGAGGTCGGCGAGTCTTTTCAGGATCCCCCCGTGGTGGCCACACCAGGCCTCTGCTTGCACGGCGGCGGCGTCCAGGCGGCGGCTCAACTCACGCAGCCGCTCCTGCCTGGGGTGGAGCCTGGCGCCTTCCTTCGCCCTCACGTCGGCCTCCCTGTTGCCCGCGAAGGCCAGCCATGGCACGCCTGCAGCACTGGCCCTGGCCCACGAAGTGTGCGACGGCAGCCACGTCAACGTGAGGAAGCCAGGGCCTAGGTCGTCGAGCAGCTGCCAGACCCGCCTCCACAGGTCCGCGTACTTGTGGCCTGGGCCGCAACAGCGTTCGCGGCCTGCCTCGAAGTCGTCCTTGATCCCCTTGCAGTCCGTATAGACCGTGATGGGCGATGGGCCGACCTCCTCCAGGACCCTGCGCAGCGCGTAGAGCTCCGCGTAGCCGATCTCCTGGATCCAGCCTGGCGTGAGCCCGAAGAGGCCGCCGACGGTGTTCCCGACGTCGTCTACCACCACAGCTGCCCATCCCGTGCGCGTCAGGCACGGGACCTCGGGGTACATCGCGGACCCGTCGATGCAGATGACACCCTCGAGGAGGCCGCGACGCGCGCAACCTGCGCGGTGGCAGAGCTCGTCCGTGCCAGGGGGCGGGGCTTGGTCCAGCCCGAGGTTGACGAGGCCCCTCACCAGGCCTAGGTCGTCCTGCGGCGCCCTCCTGCCTGCGTCGGCGATCTCTTGGAAGCCCAGGTCGCGCGCCCAGCAGGCGATGGCGGGGCACGCGAACAGCCTGTGGTGCGCCGTGCCTGGTGCTTCACCGCACCACTGGCACAGCGGGCTGAGCTCTGCCCTCTCGTCGTACAGGTCGGACTGCGTGACGAGCCCACCTGCCATGTGTGCCTCCACCAGCGCGGCCTCCTGCGACTTGCCAGCGCGCCGCATGCCCGCCAAAGCCGTCCTAAACGGCTCCAGGTTGGGCGGGCGGCCCAGGAGATGTTCGAAACCCTCGTGGCCCGCGACCTTCAGCATGAGGTAGCGGTGGACCCCATTCTCGACGAGGCTGGCCACCATCCGCGGGCTGAGCAGCTGCAAGTCGAGGATCTGCCCACGGTCGTCCCTCCAGCGGTGCCAGTTCAGCAGCTCCCAGCCGATGCGCTCCAGCGAGAGGCGGACCGCCCCTGCTGGCCCAGTGACCTCGCCCCAGTCGCCTGGTCTGCACTCCAGCACCTGCTTGAAGACCGCAGGGGGCCGCACGCGCAGGAAGACGGCGCGAGCCCAAGCCCTCAGCGGGAGGACGTGCGCCGCGTATGCTGGGTCGTGCTTCCAGTCCTTGCCCTCCTGCAGGGCGAAGAGCACAGTCCTGGATCTCTGGCCGATCTCGCCCGAGATGGCCCTGCCGTTGACTGCTCGGGCGCGCTGCAGGGTCTTCGTGGGTACTCCGCTGACCCTCGCGCCGTGGAGGATGGACGCCAACCCTCCTGTCCTGAAAACCTTCGAGAGCCTCTTGGCCCCCGCCTTGCGCAGGGCCCTGTATCGCCCAGCCCTCTGGCTCAGGCGATCGATCCTCTGCCGTAGCACCCTCCACGAGGCCGACCTCGCCATGGTGAAGTCCACGCCCAAGTTGTTTGTGGCCTTCACGTACGATGTTCAATCCCTGGAGCTGTGCCCGGCCCCCCTCGGGCTGGGGCTCCTGGCCCCGGCCCGGCCAGGCGGGAGCCGCGCGGCGCGGCGCCGCTCCCTCCTTCGCCTCCCGAGGCTCGGCAGCCTGGCCAAGAGGGGGCCCGATCCTGGGGGGAGGAGGAGGAGGAGGAGGAGGAGGAGGAGGAGGAGGAGGAGGAGGAGGAGGAGGAGGAGGAGGAGGAGGGGGAGGGGGAGGGGGAGGGGGAGGGGGAGAAGGACAAACGGTGGGAGGACCCCAGCGAAATCAGCGCCGAAAGGTCGCAGCAGGAAGCGGCTGAACGCTGCTCCAGCCCAGAGGATCAAGCCGAGGAGGAGGAGGAGGAGGAGGACAACCCAAGACGCGTAATCAAAGATGCATTAAACCCTCCCTCCGAATCACTTCTTCACAGGTCCCTACAGGAATTTGCTTGCACCGCAAAAGGCCCTTCGAAAGATGACAGTCGCAGAATTCAAGAAGAAATGACTCTACTCTCGAAGAAACCCAAGAAGGGGAGATGCCTGGCCAGGACAAGAGACAAACAATAGCACAACAGTTCTACATTATGATGAGGTTCAGGCACTCCTCACTTTCCAAAACTGACTGATAATGCTAGAACGTGCCAGATCACGATTCCTGGGACTGCAACGCAAAGAACCACCCTGACAGTTGCGTTCTGACAATTCTGAGCCATGCCAAAACACCGTTGATGGGACTTCAACACTGCGAATCCAAATGACTGCTGCGTCCCGGCAATCCTGAATCGCGCCAGAACGCCATCCAAGCGAGACTGACATGTTGAAAAGGCACCGGCCTTCGTCCGTGAAGCTGCTGCAAGTTTTTCACACGGATGTTTGCGGCGCTGATGCGAGCGCTCCATGTTGAAAGTTGCCCGCCATCGACCCCTGAAGAGGTTGGATAGTTC